TAAACTGTGACCTGCAGTATTTAAGTACCAGCTGAGGCTTAGGGAAAGAGGTGGAGTTTGTTGTGGATGTTGACTGATTGTTATTAACTGCATTTGGTAAGGTATTATAGGAAAAAACTGACCAGTTTATAAATGATGAAAAGCCTTAGAGTCTACAAATATGGGGTATTGAATGATTGAGAAATCTGACAGCTTCTAGACCCCAAACAGAATGAATAACATACTTATTAAGATCAGATTAAGAGCGCAATCATCCCTTCCAAATCTACCATTTAAGAGAAAAGGCATGGGTATAAGGAAGCAAAGATATAAAGCAGGTTTGAGAACTATGTCTAAGACAAAATTAACTGGACGTAGTGACTAGTATGTGGGACTGACTGGCAGCAAATGTATCAGAAGACTACTGAAGGGCTGGCTGGTTAGCTCATTTGGTTACAGCATGGTGCTGATAACACCAAGGTCAAGGGTTTGGGTCCCTGTACCGGCCAGCAACCAAAACAACAAAAAGAAGTCTACTAAGTTTCTGAGGAAATCTGCTGTCAAAAAAACCCACAGCACCTTCAAAAAAATCTTATGACTCTTGAATATAACTTAATACCACCCTTGGGCAGGAAAATGACTGCAAGAATATCTCAGTCCCTAAGAAGTTCTAGCCACTGGAATGTGGACAGAAGTGATGTATGCTACGTCCTGGTTTGGCTCATAAAAACCTCCCATGCTGCATGATCCTCCATTCTCTTTTCCCTCTCCATGGCAATTTAAAGGTTACAGGTGGAATGTGATGGTGGTATCAGATAACATCTCAAATGTGGCCAAGGGCAAGAAGAGACAAGGCAGACCATCGAGACAGGCACAGTTGAATCACAGAGAATAATAAATGAAAGGACTCCTCCCAAAAAGGAAAAGTTGCTAGTTCTCTGTAACATCCCTTTATTTCCTCTTCTTCCTGGGATGGCTGAATTAGTTTTGCAGACCTTTGCAATTATGTTGGGGCCATGTCAGCATCTCGACAATGTAACATAGGTGGAAGTGATGGAAGCCATTTATGGAACCCAGCCCATAAAAATTACCAATGTATCAATCTCCATCCTTGAAATCAATGTTGGAGATGGTGGCATCACGAGATGGAAAGATGCTGGGTTTCTTCATAACTGCATGGAACTCTGAGAGCTCCGTGTAACTCCCCCTCTTTCCCCAACCACTCTGAACCATAACCTGAGCAAGCAATAACCTTTTATTTTGTTAAGCCATGGAGGTTTTAGGGTTGTTTCAGCAAGTTAATTGTCACTAACACAGGGAGTAGGCTCTCTTTTTTTGATTCTCTCGAAGAATTTGTATAAAAATGAAATCCGTTTGAAAATTTTGTAAAACTCACCTAGAAAATCATGTATGCCTGAAATTATTTGTTTTCTGAGGGGGATTTCATAATAGGCATGTGATTATTCAGGTTTGTTATTTCTTATTAGTTTTTATTTCCTTATTTCTAACACCAGCAGCAGCATCATCACCTGATGTTTTAGTCTCCTGTGGCTGCTATAACAAATTACCACAAATGTGGTGGCTTCAAATAACAGAAATATATTATCCCATAGTTCTGGAGGCCAGAAGTCCAAAATCAGTTTCACTGGGCCAAAATCAAGGTGTCAGGAGGGGACTTCCTTCCTCCTGAGGCTCTGAGGGAGAATCTGTTCCTTGACTCTTCCCACTTCTGCTGGCATTTCCTGACCACATCACTCCAATCTCTGCGTCCATGATCAATCACATCTCCTCTTATGTGGTAGCATCTTCCTCTGCCTCCTTCTTAGTGGATATAAGTGATTGCATTTAGGGTCCACACAAATAGTCCAGGATAATCTTCCCATCTCAAGATCCCTAATTTAATCACAGTAGTTTTTACCATATGCAACAACTTATCCTTCACCTTAGAAGGGATATCTCAACATGCTCCATTCTACTGGACCTCTACAAATTTCACTGAGTTAAAAGGCCCCTGAATTTTGGTTAGATTTATTTCGTACCCTGTGACATGCAAATGTCTTATCAATAAATCCAGAGTAGTTACTACTACTCCCTCACTAGGTCCAATCAGCATAATGTCACCAGTCTAATGGATCAGTGTGATATCTTGTGGAAGGGAAAGGCGATCGAGATCCCTGTGAACTACATTATAATATAGGGCTGGAGAGTTGATACATCCCTGGGATACAACAGTGAAGGTGCATTACTGGCCTCGCCAGCTGAAAGCAAACTGATTCTGGTGGGCCTTTATGGACAGGTATGGAGAAAAAGGCATTTGCCAGATCAACAGCTGCATAGCAGGCACCGGGGGATGTGTCAATTTTTTCAAGCAATGAAACCACATCTGGTGCAGCAGCTGCAGTTGTAGTCATCACTTGGTTAAGCTTACAATTTTTTAATAATGTCCTAACATTATTGTGGAAATGCAAATGCCACCACAGAGGAGTAAAAGTTCCTTATTCACCTGTTATTTATCTTCTGGGACTTTCTTATGTACACATACAAATATACCCTCTCTGTTGGTTTTCCAAAAATATACATATAGGATAACATTGTTTTGCAATTTGCTCTTTTCACTCAATAGCACACCGTGGACCCCTCTCGCTAGGTATACGCAGACTTGACTCATGTTTAATGGCTGCATGCTCAGTGAAATGTAAATACTGCAATTTATTTATCCACTCTCCTCAGGATGGCTATTTAGGTGGATTGCATTATTTTGCTATTATAAGTAATGCTGAAATAAACATCCTTTCCTATAACTTAAATATAACATATAAAATGCAAATTATAAATTTAATATACATATTAACTTGCACTTGTGCAAATTTCTCTGGGCCTGATTCCCAGGTGAAAGGAAATGCCCCACCTTTTACCTTTTTCTTTATGACAAATTTCTGATAAAATTCCTTTTTAACCAAGGAATGACTTCAGTTTCAAAATTTGCTCAATGCATTCAGCTTCCAGTAGCTGTCAGCTCACACTTTATGTTAGGACTTGGTAAACTTGAGGACTGAAAGGATTTCTCGGCCTGCTTGCCTGGAAAGTGCAATAGTCCCCTGAAGACCTCTTGTCTTCATTGTTTTCAAAATCTCTTCTAAAATAAAAATTGAAAGGTAAAATCCAATTAAATTATTTGGTGATGTGTATGGTCACTAAACAGCTTAATAAGATGGTAAACACAGACTTTACAAATTATATTCACCTGACAAAACAAGGTATACCAAGTAAATGTCTATTAAAGTTTACTTAATCTTCAGAAAAATGAGAGCACACTGTATTTTCAAAGTGTGACTGAGGATTCTAATTAGACTAAGTGGCCTGCTCTGCTGTGGCAGCCTACTCTGGACTCAACAGAAACACTAATTATACTTGTTATTGCAGCAAGTCATCAGGTTTTCTGCCCTTTAGCATTCCTTTGGATGAAAAAGGTCGATGAAGGTATGGACAAACTGAATAGTGAAGTTGCACAGTGACAGTAAATGAAGTAACTTATTTCTTTCAGCTGTATTGAAAAAAGCAAAATCTTCTTTTTACAAATAAATAAAACTAAAGGCTGAACTAAGAAAATGGAGTTACCAAAGAAAGACAACTAGTAATCATGATGTAATCTAAGGGGCTGAGGACATAAGGTATAAGATAAAAATCAAACTTGAGGTGTATACAAAAAGAGAAGAAAGATTATGGTCAATTTAGTTATGAAGTACTCTGAAAACCAAGGTATAAAAATCCATCCAATAATATAGCTTTCATGATAAAACTTCAGATGAACGAAAGAGTAAATAGAATTGTCAAGGTCATGAAGACTAGAGGGTAGAGAGAAAAGTCACAATATTGAGAGTGAGGTGTTAGAAGAAATCAGGGATTTTGTATTTAAATATTAGTTTATGAATGGGGGGAAAACTTCCCCCCAAAAAGACAATACTTTTTAAAACCAGAAAATGTTACCTCTTAAAAATCTCTTTCCTTTTTCAGCATGAATTTGTATTAGCTGTTGTCAGTGATTAAGTTCATTAACATTCCAAGCTATTTTATAAATTATAGTCTTTTATATTACTCACTTCTGATTTTTGCACAGTAAATAGTTAAATGATAAACTGATCTGTATTACCTGGATTGTTGTCTTTAATGGTAACTAAATAGAATAATCCTCTTGGTGAAAGGAGATCTGAAACCAGTGGAAAGAATCTGTCCATGACTTCTCGACCATTTCTGCCACCAGCCCAAGCTGCCTCAATTCCGTGATTTTCGACCTATGAACAATTAGAAAGACTGTTTTTTGTTTTTTTTTTTTAATTGAAACATAATTGGTTTTACATATCTGTGGGGTACACAGCTGAATATCAATACCTGTGTGCAATATGTGATGCTCAAATCAGGATAATTAGTATATTCAAGATTATACAACACAATCATTTTTTGTGGCCCTTTACCAATTCCTCACTAACTGTCCCCGCCAACCCCCTTCCCCACCTCTGGTAACCTCAGTTCTGTTCTCTCCTTTTGAAAGTTCAATGTATTATTGTGATTGTTGTATCTATCTTTATAAAATTTGTTCATTTTTTTTTTAGCTCTCACTTATAAGTGAGGACATGTGAAATTTCTCTATTTGTGCCTGGCTTATTTCACTTAACATAATTTTCTCTAAGTTCATACATGTTGCTATATTGGCAGAATTTCATTCTTTTTTATGGCAGAGTAGTACTCCATGAAATTGAGCTTCATGTAGATCACATACTGAATCTTTCTGACAAGTAACATCACCAAACAAGTATATATTTTGCATTTTACTGCTGACAAAGAGGCCGTAAAGCTGAATATGTTTCACATTTTCTAGTTTGTGTGACCTTGTGTGAATTACTAATCTTTGTGAATTAGTTTCTTATCTGTAAAGTTAGAAAAATAATAGTTCTATTTGTACCATTATTTTTATCCACTGTTAGGAATAAGTGAGACAGTATTTTTTTTTTTTTTTTTTTTGACCAGTAAGGGGATCTTAACCCTTGATTTGGTGTTGTCAGCACCATACTCACCCAGTGAGCTAACTGGCCATTCCTATATGGGATCCGAACCCGCGGCCTTGGTGTTATCAGCACCACACTCTCCCGAGTGAGCCACAGGCCGGCCTGAGACAGTATATTTTAAGTTTTGAGACACTGCCCTGCACATATTAAGGGCTTAATAGTAGTTGTTACTATTAATACAATGCTTAAATTGAGACAAGAGTAGTTCTTGTACTTTATTATAAGAATTAGAAAGAAGCCAGAAGGGAGAATTTATACTATAAGAGATCTACCGTACAGAAACAAAGTTTCAAAATGTCCCAATGCATCTGGCTCTCTTCTAGATCACTTAAAGTATGAAACACATAGACCTTTTTTAGGAACCCATTTATTATATAAAGATACACTGAAGAATGTTTCCTCTAAAAATCTAATCATATTCTAGAAACAAAATCCATCAGAGTTTATGCAGTATTAAAAATCTTTAGATCCCATTGTATATTGTTTTCAAAATTAAAGAATATTTTGAAGGAATCACTCAAAAATTACTTTAACCCTAACACAACTGTTTTCTTCCTATTTCCTTCTATGGCCTTTGTCCAAATTTTAGTTTCAATTATTTATGTACAATCATGCCTTCTGGGCCGGCCCGTGGCTCACTTGGGAGAATGTGGTGCTGATAATACCAAGGCCACGGGTTTGGATCCTGTATAGAAATGGCTGGTTAGCTCACTGGCTGAGCGTGGTGCTGACAACACCAAGTCAAGGGTTAAGATCCCCTTACTGGTCATTTAAAAAAAAAAAAAAACAATCATGCCTTCTGCTTTTATTCATTTAATATGATATATATTTCCCCATTAAAAAATAATTCCTTTATAATCATACACACATATAATTTTATGAAGAGAAATATATTCATACAACTGCTTTAAAAGGTCCATATTTTAAATATACATAATTATACTCTATTCTTATCTGCATCTTGCTTTTCTCACTCAACAAGGACTAATGGAAATCTCTTCATGTCATCTGGTGTAGTTCTAATTCACTCTTTTAATGGCTGTATAATATTTTTGGTGGAAAAGTATCACATCTTATTTAGCTACTGATGGGCAGTCACTGTGTCCATTTGCTTAATTTTCTTTGAATCTAATTCTTTTTATTCTCATACCTATCATAAGCTTCTCAATATAACTTTCCACAAGGTTAATCATATTAGGAAATTTATCAGTTCCTTTGTTTTTCATCAATACTTTCCTCCTAGAAATTTCTCTTTCCTTTTCCTTCCCTTTACTTCTCTGGGTTGAAATCCCTCTTTTCCTGGGACTCATGTTGTCTTCTTCCTTTGTTTTCTACCTTATTTTGGTGGAGCCCATTCTCTGGATGTTTCATCAGGTAAGATGGTGTGGCCAGCATGCATGGTGACGACAGCCCTGCCAGGCCTGTCTCTTGTCATTCTGCTCCAAAACAGATTAGGACTCTACTGTGACATGACTCCCAGGGGATGCTCATCCATATTCATCTGCTTGCGCTAGAGATGACCCTCCAGGAAGATCACCTGGCATCAACCACCACCTTACAGGCCACAGAAGGGAGGTTCCCATGTTCATGAGGGAGCAGTCATGTTTGGTGGCCTTCTGTTTGCCTGCTACTTGGGCTAACTCCTGTGTCTACTCCTGATCTTTCACAGACCACAGGTACAAATTAATAGCACCATATTTCATATTTCTTGATATACTAGTAAGTATAGCCACAACTTTTTATAAGCACAAACTCCTATTATTTGTATATTATATCTCCTGGATCTAATCTCTAAGTGTCTTTTACCTTTGTGATTTCCTTCTCTGTATTTTTATGCTCTGTGCACTAAAATATTTCTATCATTTGATTTCCAGACCACTGGTTCTGGTTTTGACAGTGACCAGATTCTATTTTCATTCATTTCCTAATGTTTTACTGTATAAAACATATTTTGTTTTTTCAGAGGAGGAGAAGAGAGATGTAAAGCACATCTTTATTGAAGCCTTCTAAGTCTTATTTATTTAATTATTTTTAACATTTACTTGTACATATTTTTTTTTTTTTTGTCTTTTTGTCTTTTTTCGTGACCGGCAACGGATCGCAACCCTCAGTGTCGCGCCCGTACCGGGCCGGGACCGGCAACGGAATCGCAACCCCTGGCGTTGCCCCCGCACCTCGCTCAGCCAGTGAGCGGCCGGTCTGTATGTGGGATCCGAACCCTTGGCGGGTGCGCCGCCGCACTTCCCAAGCGGCGCACTGTAGCAGTGTGCCACTGGGCCGGCCCTACTTGTACATATTTGTGGTGTACAGTGTGCTGTTTCAATACATGCAGATAGTACACAATGATTTACTTAGGGTAGATACATAGTTTGGTACCCATTAATCCACTACTTCTCCCGGCCTCTTGTAACCATTATTCTACTCTCTACTTCTGTGAGAACCTTTTTTTTTTTTTTTTCTTAGTAAAACATGCTTTTAAGCTCCAGGACATCTTTGTTCTGTTGTATTTTGATCCTGTTTTCTAGCTAATTGCTCAGGTCATGGGAATCATGGCAGTAGCTTTCTTCATTGGGACTGCAAAAGAGCCAAGGCATTCCCTACACTCAATCATCTGTATGTCCAGCAACTGTCAGGCTTAGGAAAAGCACCCACGTTAGTGCTAGGGACGTGGAGAATGGAAGCCCATTTGAGTCATCATGTTCCCAGGAACCCCTCTTCATACATTAGTCAGTCTTCATGGTAGTTTCCAGACCTGACAGACCATGGCTTACTTAACTGTTTCTCTTCTGTTACATACACAGGTTCACATTATTTGTCATCATAAATAAAGATGCAATAAACCTATTTTTGTGAATTTTAATTTTTATTCTATTGTTGAATAATTTTCTTAAATTAGATCTCAAGGACTGAAATTATCCGACTGAAACATTTTTATCACTCTTGATCTTTACTCCCATAGTGTCTTCCTAAAGAGTTTTATTAAGTCACATTTCCCTCTACTGCTGTTCACCTTATGACAATGACTTCCTTCCTTCTCATGTGAGATCATATATCAGTACAGCAAAAGCTTTCTCATTGCTTAACTGCCACTAGTAGTAATAGCAGCCAAATAGATCTTCCCCATCCTGGTGGAGAGGTGAATGTAAAGTTTATCGGCCTTGCGTGAGAATCACCATCAAAGAATAAAATAAGCACAATAATTAAAGGAAAGCTAGTCTTAATCCATTATTAAACTCTGTCTGCCTTGACCATTCCTGGGAAAAGATTAATCTGTTTTACCTACCATTACCCACATACACACACAAAAAAAACCGGGGGGGGGGGGGGGAAGAAAATATAACAACTATGCTTTTTTGAAGTTGTTGCAACAAGCAAACGGAAAGGACATTCTTGGGGGGGAGGGGAGAGAGGGAGGAGGGAGGGAGGTGTCGGTGATGGGCCATAATAATTATATACATTGTATATTGACAAAATAAAAATTAACGAAAAAAAAATTAAAAAAAATAAAATTCAACATAAAAAAAATAAAAAAATAAAGTTCCTCCATGCATTGCAAAAAAAAAAAAAAAAAAAATTATATATATTTCAAGATTCTTTCTTTTCCCCTCATGAAATAAGAATTGGTCCCTCTCTCCTCCCACTTTCGGGTAGTAACTGTAAAAGGAGGAAACCTGGGACTTTGAGAAGGAATTCCTACATGAATTAAAGGTTGATTAAAAATATTTTGTTTTGCAAATCTGCTATTTGTGATAAAGTATATATATATAGTATATGTTCATATGATATACACATATAAACATGAACATATGAATTTAAACACCATGGCCTAACTTGGATGGGATTTTTTAGGGCTAGATATGGGGCACAAGTTCCTTTCCTATGTCTACCAATAGTACCCGATACTGACTATTAGAAGTAAAATCAGAACAGTCTGTGTTAACAGCAGCTGACTGATGTCATGTGATAAAGTTCATAAGATTTTAGAGACAAAGTAGCTGAAAATAATAATAAAATTTTGTTGCATGTATTACCTCTTCAGGTGGAGTCACTACATATGGGGGATTAAACACCAGAAGATCAACTTTTTCCTTCAATCTTGGTAGCAAGCCTTTGACCTAAATGTATTCAACAACAGTCAGAGTTTTAAGCTGGATTCTGAATTAAATAATTAATAAATAAATCTTTTAAAATACTCTATTAAAAAAAATGTGTTAGAGGCTCACACTTCTAGACAGAAATGAAAATATTTTACATTTTCATTCAGATAAAGATTATGTGCACTAAACTAAAAATAACAAATTAAAATTTATCAGAATAAACATACAACGTTCAGCAAAGCCTCTTGCTCTTCAGAACAGCACATATGTCTATATTCTGAATTCACTCTGAGAAGGTGAAATAAGAAGGAGGCAAGCTCTAATTCTGTAGCATGTATTCTGCATAGATTTGGACACAACTTTTCAGCTCTATCTGCTAACTTAAACATTTATTTTCTGTAACTAAGAGAAATGTTTTATGAGATTATAGAAAATGTATCTGAATAACAGAAAACATCAGAAGATGGATGTTTTGCTTTACACTTCAATTACTTACAAATGTATTGGCTGAAAGAACTGGATATCAATGAAAGAAAGAGTTGAAAATACTAGGAAGAGACACTGAAAATAGCAATTGTTTGGCATTTTGAAAATCTTTAAACTGGGTGCAATTTTCTATGGAAAGTACATTTAGGGCAAAGTATTGAAGTATTCCTCTGGTTGAGTTAAATAAATATTTTAAAAATCATGTTTGATGATGTTATCCTATGCTTTCGCAGGCATAAGTAAAGACACTGTATCTGAGTGAGTTTTCACCCCAGAACCATTTCATTCAATTATCACCTTATACTCTTTCTTATCCATGAATTCTGAGCTTGTTTCTTGAGATAGAATATTGAAATATCTCAAAGCAGTGTCCAAAACTTTATTTATTCACATTCTCACAAGTTTTCCCATATCTGCACAGGTACCTATCATCATCATTTACTGAAAATAGTCTTTAAATGGACCTTTCTTTGTTAAATAAGTTAGCTGTAAAGGGAAGCTTTACATTACTATTGTAAATGGAAAATCAGTATTACTTTCTTTTTTTTTGTGACCGGTAAGGGGATCGCAACCCTTGGCTTGGTGTCGCCTGCACCGCGCTCAGCCAGTGAGCACACCGGCCATCCCTATATAGGATCCAAACCTGTGGCCTCGGCGCTTCCAGTGCCACACTCTCCCGAGTGAGCCACAGGTTCGGCCTAGTATTACTTTCTAGAAATAGAAATGACTATAAGAATAAATGCAATACAGACAAAAAATGTTATTAAGTTATAGTTACTTGTTATCAGTCTCAGAATAATCCATGCCTGACCTCTCTTAGTTAAGGTGGCATTTGTAAGTGTTAAAAAGGTGTTAAAGGAAAGCATCAAACTCAGACCTTCTCCTTAATGTGATCAGAATGGCTAAGAGATTTAAAGGGGTAACAGCTTTTACATTATGTGATTCAAAGTTAATACCCAGACATACCACCTAAATATTGGACATATCGCTGGGCTAGTTACGTATATTACTATAAAACAATGCCTTAGAATTTCTATTTTATTGAGGTTTCTACAAGCAATCTCATTTTTATCATCCTAATAAGCCTGTTAACTCTGCAGTTCAAAGAAAATATATAAGTAGTATCTTTGTTTTTCTTTTTCTTTTTTTTTTTTTTTTCTTAAAAGATGACCGGTAAGGGGATCTTTACCCTTGACTTGGTGTTGTCAGCACCACGCTCACCCAGTGAGCTGACCGGCCATCCCTATATGGGATCCGAACCCGTGGCCCTGGTGTTACCAGCACCACAGTCTCCCAAGTGAACCACGGGCCAGCCCTAGAAGACAGTTTTTTTAAAAAATATGTGTTACGCATTTCCTTACGTACTTAAAACCCACCAAATATAATTTTACGCCGCTTGGGAG